CATGTGTTGTATTCAAACTACTCATTTACTAAACAATGAGCTGAAACTCACTATAAAGCTCCGTAAAGCTGAGGGGAACTGCAGATTCAGGTGATACTTCTCTCTATGTTAATCACTACGGGCAACTCCTTTCACGTCATCACATTGTTTTCACATTATTATTTGACACAGTATTGTTATGAAAATATAAATTAAGGCCCTTTTAACATTTTAAAAGACAAATGATGGACCCAAATATTAGATATGAATGTGAAATGTGCTCACTTGTAGGAGACGGTGGCTTTATGCGTGGAGGGCTGAAACCTCGTCTGGCTGTAGGTGCATCCGAGGTATGATAGAGGGCACCTCTCCTCAAACCATCCACTCAGGTTTGTCTGGATGTCAGTGTGGACGTTCCTGGAAAAGAGATAACAATTGATACGCTTACTAAACACACCAAGCATGTCCATCTGCTCCCATTATACATGAACAGCATTTCTCCTACTAGCTGACTTTTCTAATTGGTTTCATCCTTTTGGTAATCGACAGCTGTTAAATTCTGAGTGACAGTTGTTACTTAAAGGTTAGTCCTTAGAAAATGACACGTGACAGGAGTATAGAGGTCAGCAGGGGTCAAACACACCCATGTTAGTTGTTTTCACAGACACCTGAAATGTGTGGCGAACTCTCTGCGGAGGAAGGAGTGACAGCAGAGGAAGGTGAAGGCGCTGTTGCCTCTGTGATGTCTGCCGCTCACTCTCTCCGACTCCAGCAGAAGACGCAGCTTCAGCGGCTTGTCCACGGCCAGCTCTGCCAGAGTTGTCTTCGCTTTAAATGGAGTTGTGCGAAATGTGTAAGTCTGTGTTCCCGCGTCGTTATAGATCCCATCGGCAGCCTTTGACTCACTGACCTGCATGGAAACCATTCAATCAAAACACCTGATTCATTCCAGTTAAAGGATCATATCACTGTTTTTGCATGAGGCCATTGTGTCCCACTCATTTTCATCTCAAAGGTTGTACCAAAATGTAGGTTATTGATAAATTCACCATTTGTGTTGCTGATTTCTTTACTGCACAATATGAAAATACAGTGACTTGAAACTGGTTTTAGTCAAAAAATGCACCACTTTCTTAAAATTCTAATCTTTTTAGAGAACAAATGTTGTAGCTGGCACTAATATTGTTTTATTTAAAATTCCACTTTCATCTCCACATCTGGTCATGTGTACAGTTTATATGTTTTTATTTATACTGTTATAAATATCTGACTGACCTTGTGACCCCTGACCTCCCGCTCAGCATAGCCCAGCAGGGTGGCCTCTATTTCATCGCTGTACCAGGCCTCTTCGTTGACTTCGAGGTCAGATGTGTCCACACCGCGAGCCTCGCTGGGAGGCTTAGTTGAGTCGTACTGATGAATACGCCGTGAGCTGTAGTGATAGCTGTCAGGGATCTTAAAGGAACAAATAAATAATATATTGCATTACATCAGAATCCAAGAGAGTGCGATATTTAAGGCCTGGGTAGATTTGAAAAGCTCTAGTTCATCACTCCGGTTGATGAATTCTGAGGAATTATAAAGCTGATAAAAGACTTATGTTTTATAGTAAATAAATGTACTTTGTTATCACCTTGAAAGAGCGCAGAGTCTGGACCGGGATAGGCTCCAGGCTGCCGTAGACAAAATCGTCCTCCCTTGGCGTACAGGCCTTGATTTGTCCAAAGGTGAGCAGCATGCGCCCATGGTGCACCACATACATGTTGTACTCCTGCGGGGTGAGCTCCTGCCCCAGACGCTCCAGCACCCCCTCCTGCCACGGGGCATGACCTGTCTTACTTGTGTCTACAGCTACATCATCTTTTTTCTCTGTGTCTTTGTCCTTCACCTTCTCAGTAGGCTTTGGGGTTTCTTTGGGCTTGTTCAGGTTTTCCTGAGCGACAGCACAGCCGCCTCTCTCCATGCTGAACATCATCTCAAACAGGTTGTATTTCTCTATGTTAATGCCTGAGCTATGCACTGCACTTGGTACAGTCTCTTCAACAGCATTATTCTCGCACACGCTGTTATCTGCAGGGACAGATATGCGGAGATCAACAGGAAAATGTAAAGGCAAGAGATGAGAAAGAAAAGACCAGAAATAGCAACAACACATATTATTTTGTGTCAGCGATTTACCTTCATTGACATCATTGTCTTCAACACTACTGTCAGATCCTCCTACTGCTGTGTCCTCTTTCTTCTCTTCCTTTATTTCCTCCTCTTCCTCCTCCTCCATCAGCTCTGGATAGATTGGTTTCACCTTCAGGCGTTCATAAAGTTCTGACTGATCCACCAGGGCCATAGCGAGATCCAGAGGTTCCCCTTGCCCCTCATTTTTCTTCAGCACATTCTCCTGCAGGGCCATGGCACTGTGTGGGTTTGTTTCATCAATGGGCCAGCGGAGCCAATCCATGGAGCAACACACCACGCTGGCTGGACACACCTGGAGGTGAGCTGCCTGCGAGGAGCGAGGCATTTGGAACGGGCACCCATACTCAGCGTTGAGGCAGCGCACTCTCACGTTAGGGCAGAGCAGCAGGTGATCCTCCTCTTTGCAATGGTGAAAGAGAGCTCCACAGAGCAGGCGGCAGGGGATGACCGTACAGCACACAGAGGGCTCCACCCGAGTCCTGCAGCGCCGGATGTAGCAGGAGTCACAGTGGACATGCTGTTGCACCTTGGAGGCTCGAGAACGGTAACTCTGATTGGATGAGAAAGACAAAGAGAGGAGCCAGCTGGGATGAAAGCTGAGGATGAAATACAGTATATTAAACACGGTGAAGCAAAGCTATGTACTCGCTATATTTTTATATTTGATTGAACCAGAAGTATATCTGGAGAATCTGTGACTCACCATGTGTACAGGACTCTGAATCAGAGGTTTTGTAATCCTGTAAGAAAGATACAGAAAATTTAGAGTCATACTCTGTAACATCAGCCCTGTCATTAGCAGTGTCATAGTCAATACCACCTAGTTTGTTGACACCAAGTCAAGACCAAGACCAGAACAATGTGAGTCCTACACTTACTATATAAAATATAAACCATGCAAACCATGTGCTCTCCTCAAATTAATCTGGAAGATTCACATTTCCATAAAAACACCCACAGAAAACAAAGATTCCTTATTTACATCTCTTATTATCATACTGTATGCATGTGTATGTGTGTATAAATGTACTACGAGGAAACAAATACAAACAAACACTAAGTAGCTGAAATAAACTTTATCAAACACTCAGTTTTTGCACGAGCAATTTAATGATATCCCTGCAGTCCTCTTTGTCCAAGCCCAAGACAAGACCAAGGAAAAATGCAGTCGAAACTGAGATGAGACAGAAGGGCCCAAAGTGTCTGGAGTTTTCCTGGCCACCATGAAAACTGTCACTCAAAGAAACATGTACTGATCCAAGAGACACAGACACAAAATAACTCAAAAGAGACACAAACAGACCCTAAAGAGACATAAAATGGTTCCAAAGAGACACAAAATAACCACATAGAGACACAAAATGACCCCAGAGAGACAAAAAAAAGAGCACTAAAAGATGCAAGGGGAGTGCCAAGAGACAAATATTTATTGAAACAAAAAAAAGGCAAAATAACCACAAAGTGACTGCAAAGAGACACAAAATGGTGACCAAAAAGTACCACAAAAAGTTGCAAAACAAAAAAAATAAGCTACCACAAAGTCTGTGTGTCTTGCTCCTGTGTAGTACAGGTGAGGTGGCGGGGCCTTTTGCATATCTGTGCCCAGGGCCATATTATCTCATAACCCACCTATGGTCTTGAGACTAATCTCAAGTACTAAAACACTGTTTAGTAGTGAACCACTTGATCATCCACCTTTTTGGCTTGTGACCCCTGTAAACAAAGCAATGTCTACTTGTAATCCATCATCACCAGTCACACATGTCATGTTATAATGACCTGGTCAACCACAGAGTGATTCTGTCCTCCCTGTTTTACTGGAATGATTTTTAGAGGCCTGGCGTGGTAAAAGTATCCAATTAATGTAAAGCGTTTTAGACAGTATTAATGCTGTCTGTTGTTGTTGTTGATGTTGATGATGATGTTGTTTTCCTAACTGGTTATATCATCACTCCTCAGATTTACACTGTGTCAGCCTTCAGGGTGGAACCGGTGACACTCTGCCGGCCACAAAACAAATCAACAGCACAAAAAAAAAGTTTATAGGAAACATTTTTCACAGCTTTAGTTAATCATGCACTGAGCTTGGCTCCAAAGCAATCTAAAAAAATGAAAATGTAAGTATTCCACAACCTCCTGCTCTTACTAAATGAAGACCTGATATTCAAAATAGACTGTAAACTACTCATGTGTCCTGTGTTAATGTAGCAGTAAACCAGACAAGCATGTAACTTGTCTTTGTAGTTTCACTGTAGCTAATGCTTGCATTTTAGATCAACAAAAACAGACATTATCAGAGTAGTTCAACATATTAATAAAGGGACAAATCTTATCTAGTCAAAGGTCTTACCAAGGTGCCACCGCAGACGTTGCTTTCAGTCCCTGTGCTCTTTGAACTGGGAGGTTAAAATTAGACAAGCAACAGCAGGTTCAGCAGGAAATAACTCCCCCCTCAGTCTCTGCATTGGGTTCAAGCCACAGCCAAAAAACTTTATTAAATGCTCCCTGTCATCATTCTGAAGCTGAATCAATGTCCCTGTGTACAATAGAGAAACAATCTGTTGCATTGTCTGCAGTGACAATGCCTAAATCAAATCTCCACTAGAGGACACTGTTTGGACATTAAATAAGACTCAGCCTCATTTTGCTCTCTGCAGGTAGAAATCAACTGAATGCTGCACCACAATGTGAATCAGAGGGAAGACGGTGAGAAAGATCTCCTGATGTTAAGTCTCTGAGAAGGCTGGTAACTCAAACCATGTTCCTGACCACCTGCGTAACATTTCTCAGTCAGTGCTCAGCTCTATTTATAACACAAACACATATAACACAGACACAGACACACACACTCACTGGGACACTTGGTCTTTAAAGCACGAGACGGAGTGCAAGGAGTGTGTCTCTCTCCTTTCTGTTCTCTTACAGCGGTAGGCTAAAGTCTGTACCTCGCTGTTCCCATTGACTCGAATGCTGCAGCACCCCGTTGGTGTCCTGCCATTGTGTGTTTACATGCAAGACTTTGAGATTCATATCGTCTTTACTTGCAGGTCTGACCTACAGCTTCAGATACAAAACTGGTGCCAGAGGATCTGAAGCATGGTATGGTTTTATTTCTCAACTCTAAGATCTACCATTCAGTTTCCACTTTTATTTGCCCTTGAGTAGCTTTAAGGTTGTTAAAACGATCTTATATCCCACTGTCTGATATTAGATGCAGTATATATTGTTTTGGCTCTTCTTTGAAGCTAAATGATGTTTACAGAAAAAGAAATATTCAAACCCAGAAGTCCTTGTTTATTTGTGGATGAACCATTTCCTCAAATTGCAATATTGTACATGTCTTTTGCATTATTTTATGTGCAAATTCCACCTGACATTGTTGGCACGGACAGCATAAGTTTGACCTCCACCTCACTTGTGGGGGTCAATAGAGGTTAAAGCCTAATTATGTTTTTTAAATGAAAAAATGCTGATTTAGTTCTCTTGAGTCTGACAATCTGTAATTTTATTTTCCTTTCTTCCTCCCTAAACCCACTCAGAGTCAACGGTCTCGAACCTCCAGGGTGCGAGGGCATGTCCACTGTGATTCCTGCTACAGCCGGCGCTGCAGAGCTCGGGTGGAGGTCTCTGTGTGCTGTGTAGTCATCCCCTGCCGCCTGCTCTGTGGAGCTGTCTTCCACCTCTGCAAAGAGGAGGATCACCTGCTTCTCTGCCCTAATGTGAGGGTGCCCTGCCTCAACGCTGAGTATGGCTGTCCGCTCCACCTGCCTCGCTCCTCGCAGGCAGCTCACCTCCAGGTGTGTCCAGCCAGTGTGGTGTGTTGCTCCATGGAGTGGAACCGCTGGCCGGTCAACGATGCCCATTCTTATCCCACCACAGAGCTGTATGAAAACCTGCTCAAGGAAAGAGAGCAGGGAGGATGGCTGGACTTCACCGTGGCCCTGAAAGACCAGGATGTCCTGTTTCACTCCATGAAGATGAAGAAACTGTTCCCAGAGCTGATCCAGAGTGTGGAGGAGGAGGAGAAGGAGGAAGAGAGGAGGGAGGAGGAGAAGAGGAAGGAGAAGCAGAGGCAGAGGAAGGAGGCAGCAGAAAGGGCAGCTAAGGAGGCCAGTGGTCAAACCTGGAAGTCCTTTGTCATGTTTGACGTGCAGCAGGGCCCTGAGGAAAAAGAAGAGAGTGAGAGTGATGATGACATTGAATATCAGCAGGAGCTGACCCAGGAGGAGAGAGAGGCTCTTGCCAGGGAAACAGGAGTGCAGGCTAATCTGTTAGAAAACTACAACGCTTGGGAGCGCATGTTCACTATGGAGATGGGTGGCTGCAGGGAAGCCGGAGAGGGAGCTGTAGCAGGCAGAGGCCGGGGACAGTCAAAAGGAAATGGTAAAGACCTGGACACTCTGACAGAGGAAGATGCAGCAGATGCCTGTGTGGGTGCCACAGCATCAAACACCTGCAAACAGGGGAACAGTGCATGCGTTGCTGCCTCCACATCTTCCTCCTCGTGTCTTGCTGAAACTCTGAAGAAGAAGAAATTTGAGTACGGATCTGTGGAGCCAATGAAGATTATCACTGTGCGTACTTTTAAAGCCCCAACCAGCTTCGCTGCCAGGCAGGGCCGCATCCGCAACCCTGGTTTCTACAAGAGGGAGAGTAAAGCTGTGGATACAAGTGACCTGGGGCTGGCGCTGCAGGAGATGCCAGTGTGGGAGGAGGTTCAGGTGAGAGACCGTAATTAGTCCTGCTTGTAATGGTGTCAAGCCATCTCTCCTTTCTGGTGACCTGGAGGCAGCATGAACAAGCTGTGAACACTGACATAAAATACTTTATAAAGTTAAAATTACAAACGTGTTAGAAAACCGTTGCCTATTTACACATCCAGCAGTTATAGAGCAGAGGTAGTGCTAATTAGGAGTTGAGTTTGTGTCCATCCAGTGATTGTAAGTCCAATATCCACTCTACTTTTAGCTCTGTTTTTGTCTCCACCAACTCCTGAGGGAAATAATGGTCTCTGCACTTCATATGCCCCACCCCCAAGATATTCTTCAACATGACTAATCTATTACTCAAAGAATTAATCAGATTGGTCAATAATTAAAGTAATCATCATTATATCATATTAAAGACATTAAATGACTTGCTCAGATGAGTTCAGTGTCCAGATACCCTGAATATTTATCACATGATGTGTTTGATTTGCTCCTCAGGCCTCTCTGCTGTGCTCCCTGGAGAAAGAGCAAAGAGGTCACCTGATCGCAGAGAGCGTATGCACAGATGGTCTGTTACAAGATGAGGGCACACAGACCTACAACTTCCTGTCTGCTCCTTTCCGGAGGAACACGTCGCTGGCCGACCTGACCACTGCGAAACCACTGGAGCTGCACCTTCAGCTGCAGGTGGAGGGCGTCACCAGCCGGCACCACAAGGCCAGCTCCGCCTTCACCTTCCTCTGTGGACACACCTTCCAGCGCAGAGAATTCGGCAAACATTATAAGTGGGTTTTAGTTTTGTTTTTAATTCAAATATCACTTGGAATCCATATTTAATCTTAAACGAATGCACACAATCACATTTTATTTTGTAATAATGAATGTGCTCTCACATACAGGAACATCCACAGTGACATCCAGATGAGTGTGAACGGATGGTTTGAGCAGAGATGCCCCCTGGCATACCTGGGATGCACCTACAGCCAGAGGAGGTTGCAGCCCTCCACACATGAAGCCACTGTCTCTTACAAGTGAGATCTTTAGTCCTACATGGTGCTGATGCTCCTTTATCATGCTTCTTTAATTAGATCTATTTTATCTCAATGCAACAGGAAAGAAAAATGTAACATCATGCAGGGCAGTAAAAAATTAATGTACCTTTAGAGACCATGGTTTCACCTTTGCTTTCAGTGAGGATCTGGGCTGCTTCAGCATGCGTCCCACCCTCCCTGTCTCCCTGGGTGATGCCTCCCAGGTGTCCCAGAGAAAGGGAGGAGGTCAGGGAGGAGGAGGGGAGGAGTCTCTGAGCTCGCTGCCCTATGAGGTGCTGTGCCACATAGCCAGTTTCCTGGACAGTCTGTCCCTTTCCCAGCTGGCTTTGGTGTCCAAGCTGATGAGGCAGGTGTGCTCCACTCTGCTGCAGGAGAGAGGGATGGTCACCCTGCACTGGGAGAGGCAGAAGAACTCACAGGGAAGAGCCCAGTGGAGGGTGACGCAGACGGTAAGCTAAGAGCCAGTGTTCCTGTCATGTGAATGCATGAGGTGTGACAGTGGATCTTGTGTGGTATATATACATCTGAGCTTTCACCAGAATCATCTTGGCAGTTTAAAGTTTGTCAGGTGTATTAAAAAGAAAGAGATTTCAGGATCCTGAGAGTTCAGGTTCTGAATTTATTACCAATATTTCACAAAAAAAAAGCAGTCTTAAAAAAAGACGAGAGAAAAGTTCTTTCTTCTTCTTTCTTGGAATCAGGACTGAATATTAAGGCATCTCTCCCTTGCCTGTTTCTCTGTGCCTTCAGGTATGGCAGTTCAGCACTTTGTTCTCATCTGTGGACACTTGGTGCTTCCAAAACACCCCGTCCATGTCCGAGCACCTAAAGGTGTGTCCCTGCTATGAGAGAGAGTCCAGGACAGAGAAGATTCGCCTGCCGCGAATCAGAACAGAAGTCCAAACCAAGACAAGCTGCAAAGGTCCCACTCTGGTTAGTTTGTTCCAGCAGAAGAGGATCATGATGTAGTGTGTGCTGCTTTAATCTGTTAATATAACAGGGAGTGAGTTACATTTTGCCCGCTCTATTTCTCTCTATCATGTCATATGTCGTTTTGAAATAAAGTAAAAATGCCAATAAAAATAAGAACAAAGAGTGAAACCTGGGTGATCTCATTACTTTATACAATTAAGAACAAATCAGGAGCATCTTTACATTTGAAATGCAGTCACTAATTGTCATTGTAGACACTGCCCAGCTGGCCTCCAATGTTGTTAGACGTTGGTATGTGGTTGAATTAGTATGTGACGTCAGATGACCAGAATTCAAGGACGTCATTTTGAGGTAGAATACTGATGACAGATGACGTTGATATTTTGTTGGCATTCAGTTTTGCTGTTAAGAAACCAAAATCCATCGTCGTCCAAACTTCTCATTCCAGCTTCATCTTGACATTGAATAATGGCATTCAGTTGTAAGGTATAAAGAACAAAACCCAACATTTGGAAAACATCATACTCTTAATGTCCACATCAACCAGATTTTTATTCCAACCAAATTTTATTCCAACCAAATTTTAACATCTGTCCAACATCTTTCTGAAGTCATATTGTTGTCCTGTACCAGCTGGGTGAATATAGTACATCTTTTGAAATCACAAAACATGAATAAATATTGTTTTTTGTAACGGTACCTCTTTTGAAAAGCAGGGTATTAATTTACAAGGTGGTCAGTGTTGCATAGAAAATGATTTTTCCAAAAAAGATGTGTAAATCATCTTGTAGGTAAACACAGCTTAGGCAGTATACTGACGCTAAAAAGTGCCCTGCGTGATTTGTTTTTATGTCAAACCACTCCAAAAGTCATTGGCTAACTTGTACTTGATCTTTGCTTTCTTCTCTGCAATAGCAAATATTAGGAGTTCTCAGCAAACACAGTGTCTTCAGGTCCTGTTAAACCACATCATGAGGCAGAAAACTGAATCAATGGAGTCATGTTTGACCAGGAGAAACTCAGCCCCGACTCCCCCTGGTGGTCCTTGTGTGTGTGTTGGAGAGGACCTCTGCTCTGAGTAGTCTATAAAACAGCACTACATTCATGATGGAGATGAGACTCAGGCCTACTGTCCCCATTATTAGGATGTAGCGAGGCATGCAGTCATCATGAGCTGCCAGTCAGCTGGTCATCCAAGCCAGCATGCAGACACGAAACACCAGTAACCTGCAGATGAGACAGAAAGTCAGTAAGAGACTGCGTAAAGACCTTTATGGGCAAACTGCTTTTAGATAAATGACATAATTAGTGGAATGAGGGATCTTAAGAGGCCCTGGTGGGCAGATTTTGTTATTGTTGGACAGAGACAGATTATCTGTCTGTCTCTCAGCTCCAGCTTCATATCTGACAGTGAACTGACAAATATGAGTGTGGCATGGATCTTCTCATCTGAGTCTCAGGAAGTAAGAGAGGATACACTTGTTTCTGAGAATGTAAAAACTATTCCTTTAATGTTAAAAATTCAAATAATTTCATAATTCATAAAATCGATCCTCTGCAATACTACTATCAGCATGTGACAGGCCATCCATCTGACCTAATTAGATTCTCATGTGGAAATGCACCAGCACAGATATTCACATATGAAGTAGTTTCAGTAGGAATGTTCACAACAGACAGTTTGAATATTGATTTACACAGGGGGCCTTTATGACACCTCCACAGGAGAATCACCTACGTTCCCAGGTTGAGCCAGCTGATCACTCTGTAGATCACAGAGGGACGAGGGTCTGTGCTCTCAGTCCCCGGCCTGTTCCTCTGTCCTGACAGAAGGAGGAGCTGTCTGATATGAAGGGAAACGGTGTTGATCTCGACCAGCAATGACATCACAGCGTAGCCCACATAGATACGGGGCGTCACAGCCAAACTGAAGCAGGAGAGCACCTGAGAGAAGAGTTCACACAGAAGAAGCAGACACATGCAGTGAAACTTTATTCACCGTCTCACTTAAACAAAATCACAAAATGAATGAGAAAAATAACAGTTTCTGAGGTCACTTTTAGTTTGTTCTGCAACGGAAAATATCAATAATTAATTAAAAAAAACCTACTGTGGTATCACTTTCTAAAGGTTTAGAATTGATCTGTTAATGTAAATAATTAATTCATCATTAAACATTGTGATAAGCATTTAAAAGGACAAGTTACAGGTTGTCAAGTTGCAACAAGTCAATTTAGCTGTATTATAATGTCCTCCAGTATTGCTTGTTTTATATTTTATCTCTTTAATTCATCAGGAAGTCTCTGCAGTTAAAAATGCTGATAAGTTGTTTTCAGTAGATTATGGTCCAGATGTTGTGTAAACCAGAATCTCTCCATTTGAGGTGTCGTCCTGATGAATTAAAGGTCTGGATTAGAAAAAGAAATAGAGATTTTTGCTATGGGAAAAACCCCAGCTGCAATGGAGTGACTGTAACTTAAACCAAATGGCAATGGTCCCTTCCCTGCTTCCTAACCCTTTATTTTTGATGCCCTTGCTCGGACCGCACCCATCTTCAAACTCAACCTTCATTTTGATCTCAACTTCACACTTTCACACTAGAGTTTGTACCTGCATCTTGCGCAACTGCAACACTATCACGTTGAAAAAACAGTCCACAACAAAAAACACTCAAACACTTTGGCCCAGCTGCAGAAAATGTTTACATTATTTGACTAAAAAAATATATGCATTTTAACATCAGTTTGGACCACTCTAGCTAGTAGCTACTTTATAGTAGGCTGTACATAATCCTATACAGTGAGGTGATAGTTTTTTCTATGGCAGGCTACTTTGTACTAGGTTTAGTACAACAATAATGATCTTTTGAGAGAGAGGAGGGAGAGAGATTTTCTATTTCACTGAGACATATTGAGGCAATGGTGTTCTTCTGTTTAAACTCATTTGATGTCATTTGTACTAAGTATGATTTACTGTTAACCATTTAACTAATGAAGATGAACTGAACAGCACATAAAAGTTGCCTTTCAATGTTATGTGCACCACCTAGTGGCCTGATAATACATTGGTAGTATTGAAGCAAAAACATATGGTGCCAGTTTACTTTTTACATCCAGTTAACTGTCTACATGTCGCAGTGTAACCCAGCTGAACAGTCAGGTGTACATAATTCAACTGTCAGATAAGGAAATTAAGTACATTTACTATAAGTACTATAATTATGTACAGTTTAGAGGTACTTGAATAATTTAATTTTTATGCTTTTTACTTCTACATTCTGGAGAGAAATATTGTACTGCACACTTCTTCCATGCTTTAAAAGTTCAATCAAGACAAAGTTACTACTCAAAATGTTTAAAAAGTTGAAACCACAACTATATTTATACATAATGCACACCAATGGGCTGACAGGCTCTGTGATGGCAGCTGTGGTTTCCCAGCTAAACCAAAACTACAATGAACAATTTAATAAAGTACAAACAAAAAAGTATATAGAGGAAAAACAGTGATACAAAGGCCATACTATAAAATATTAGACTTATAACTAAAGCCACCACCCTCTTCCATTCACCGACCCGCTTCTCCACACACACACACACACACACACACACACACACACACACACACACACACACACACTGTTTACATGACTGGTTCAAGGCCACATCCAAGAAGTCATGGATAAAATAACCTAGAGAAGAAAATACATGAGTTGTGTGTCAGCGTGCAGTACATGTTTGTTTGTTCATTCTGGAGTTGGATATGTTTGATTTTGTATTTTTGTTCTATGTTGTCCATCTGTAACTTATGTTGCTGCCTGTCATGGTCAGGAAGCTCTTAAAAAGGAGATCTCAAGAGGTTTTTCAGGTTAAATAAAGATTAAAATAATATTCACAGTTTTAAATCTTGCAGAAAGTAAGTTTTGGTGTGTGACATTTTTATCCCATCCACATTTTGCTTTTTTATTGTCAGTATGTAACCTTGATTGTTCAGCACTTACAACTTTTCATTGTTACATGACCTGGAAGTCATTGCTGTAAAAGCCTCATAAGTGCAAACTAAAAAATAAATAAATAAATGAATTATCTGCTGCTGTTGCAGAGGTGTGTGTTAGTGCGAGATTCGTCACCTGTAGACACAGCTACAAGGCTGTGGGAGAGCAAGTAGTGAGAGGAGATCAGGTCCTCCGCCATCTGAGGTTGAAGGTAGAAACTGCGTGGCCAGAGAGAGGAAGAGTAAAACATTAAAATAAATTCTGGCACCACACCTGATTATTGCATCTTTACGCACCATACAACAGCCCATGCTCCTGTCAGCGAGCTGTAAAGACATGCTGATATTCCTTCTCCTCCAGGCTTTCTTGTGCACCAGCTCTGGTGTTGGCAGGAATCTGACAATTGTGTTCAGCAGAAAGAGCACGCAGATCCTCCAACAACCAGAAGAGTTGACTTTAAATCCATAATATTTACCACAGAGCCTGGTGCCTTGAATTCACTTCAAATCCCATGTACTCCTGTGTTCAGGGCACATTTCAGCTCAAATACACTTTGAGGAACGAGCTGCTGAAGTGTCTTTAACACACAGTCACTAAAAAGGTGACTGATGACAGGTAAAGGGTTACAGTGACACAATCACATACATGGCATGATTTCCTTCTTGGTAAATAAACAGTTAAACCTGTTGCACTCACTGTGAATCCTGAACCTGATGGGAAGCCAGTGTAAAGAAACTAAAATGGGAGTGATGTGTGTGGACCTGTTGGACCTGGTTAACAGCCCCGCAGCAGCCTTCTGGATTATTTGAGCGAAGTTTTATTTGGACAAAAAAAGAGAAATTACAGTAGTCCAGTCAGGAGGACACAAAAGCATGGGTAATCATCTCTAGGTAAAGATAAACACTGTCTCCATTGTCCTTCTAATTAGTATTAAATACTATCATCCAGTTGAGGAAGCCCACGTCTTTCTATGTATTTACATTTTATGCATGGGTGGATTATGAGAGAATGGACCCCTGGGTACACACAGACTTTATAATGACTTGGTATCTTTTTTTTCTGTAGTCATTTTGTGTCTTTTTGTCATTTTGCCCTATTTTTTAGTTATTTCGTGTATCTTTATAGTCATTTTCTCTCTTTTCAAGGTAGTTCTGTGGGTTTTTTGGTTGTTTTGTGTCTCTTTGTGTGTTTTTTTCTCTGTTTTGCCCTTTCAGTAGTTATTTTGTGTCTCTTTGAGGTCATTTTGTGTCACTATTGGTTTTTTTGTGTTTTTGTGTTTGTTTCGCCCCTTTTGTAGTTTTTTGTCTCTTTGCAGTTCCTTTGTATGTCCTTATTTCCTTTTTGAGTCTCATCCTGGTCAGTATGTGTTAATTTAAGTGACGTTTTGCAGATGAAGGCTGGGGGCCCCTAGAACTTAGGGCCACTGCACTTCTGCATAGTAAACCTGTAATCCATCTATGATTTTGCATGTTAGTTGTTTTCATGACATTAAAATAAACTTTGGGACCTGTGAAATAAAGTGTTCCTCAAGTGCACTTAAGCACAATTTTGAGGGACTTGTACTTAACTTGAGTATTTCCATTTTCTACCACTTTATACTTCTACTTCACTACATTTAAGAGGCAAATATTTTACTGTTTTACTCCATGACATATATGTGATAACTTAAGTCCCAAGTTACTTTGCAGATTCCGATTATTAATACAAAATAAATATCAATAAACAATTGATGCTGTATTATTATAGGTTAAGGTGAGACTTTATTGATGTATTGGGGGAGAATATAAAATGGTTAAAATTAGCTCCACCTTACCAGCTGCAATATTAAAGTGAATCTACAAATTACTTCATCAATAATCATAACTAAAAAATATTAGGTCTATATACATTATTCTGAATTGGGCCATTCTACACAATGAGTACTTTTATTTTATGTACTTTAAGTATATTTTGGTGCTAACCCTTCTCAATGCAGAGCTTTTATTTGTATTTCTACACAGTGGTATTTCTATTTTTACTTAAGTAAAAGATGTGAGTACTTTTTTTAACCACTGCCCACTTACACTCTCAGGGTTTTAGCATTAACTAAGTGACTGATTTTAAATCTTTGCAGCTTTGCAGTGATAAATCTTGAAACCTGAAACGGTGTGTGGATGATAGTACCTCCACCGGTTTTGAAAGTTGTGCTTTTGTCGCCTGTCCATTCACTGTGCTTCAGCTGCTGCTGCTTCGTCAGCCTTTCTCTATACTGCCGTTGTGAAACACAAAAGACCACCGTCGCCTTTCTCTGGAACAATAACTGGGCTGAACATGACCACTGACATCACCCACACTGTTCAGTCACCGGAGACCCAAAACTCACCTTTTGGCAGATTTTTGCTCATCTTATCAAACCTTCAAAAAAAAAAAAGTCCACTTTTTCACAGTCTGCCAGAATAAAGGGATGAAGGTTGGGGATGGACCTGTTGCCGTGGAAACGGACTCCTATCCCATCATTGAGCTGATGAGCAGAAAACAAACTGGGAGCACTGGACTGTTGTCTAAGAAAAACTTCTCTCAACGGAGCATCTGACAAACTTTGAATGTTTCTGGAGGGGTTTTGTGTATCTGTGTGGAGTTATAACTGAATCAGAGACATGTCTGGGACCAAACCACGTGAGTAACCTCTCTGAGTATTTATTGACTGAATAATTTTACAGATCTTTCACTGAATTTTAAAGCAGTTTAATTACTGGGTGTTTTTCCAAGTGTCTGAAATGAAAGTAATCATCTCTATCAGCTGATGCAGTTTGTTTAACTGTGTGTGTTCAGCCCGTCAGGAGCATCCGGACTCTGATCCAGATGACACATCAGAGGAGCTGACAGAGGTGGTGTGTCTGGAGTCAGACCTGCAGGATGGACAGTAAGGAGGAGGGGAGGTGTTCACAACCTGGCAACCTGTTTTTATTCATACACCAGTACTTTATTACTAAAATACAAAATGATGCATACATTCATCAACAAATTACACAAATGTAGGCTAAGTAAGCCTGCCTGTCTTACAAACAATCAATCAAACAACTTAAAAACTGTTTTAATTCACACATCATTACTTTCGTTGATCGGTGATTTAAATGCTTTCACTGAACCATTAATGAATTAAAACTAGCCTTTAGCCATGCTAGCAGCTCCTCGATGTCGCAGCCTTTGTTGGCACAGTGTTGATCTGAATTAAATATAGTCTAACATCCTCTCAGTGACAATGTTAACATGCTGATGCTAAGAGGGTTTATGTTTAGCATGTTAACCATCTGAGTTAAGCATTTTAGCATGTCAACGTGTGCTAATTAGCACTAAACACAAAGTAGCCTTCAGCTGAGGCTGATGGAACTGTCACTGTAGATATTTGGTCATAAACCAGAGTGTTGGACAAAATTTTGACCTGATGATGGAGCTAGATGAAAAGTTAATAAATCATCAAAGTTATCATAATTCACCTTGAGGGGGATTTGGATCTGTACCCAATTTTATCGCAATCTGTCCAACAGTAACTGGGATATTACAGGCCGGACCAAAGTGGTGGACCAATCAACCGACTGACAAAATGATATTGTCACTTCTAGATATACGCCACTAGCATGATTATTCAAAAAAGGCCGGAGAGACTGATTTAATCTTTTTTTTTTTTTTGTAGTGTTCGTTGAAAAAAAAGTGGATCTTTAGCGAAAGGGGGCCGGCATTTGTCACATCTGTATTGCCATGATTACTACAGATCACCCTGAGGAGGACAGGAGTGTGAACCTCATGATAGCACTAGAGGAAAAGTCAGGGATCACTGAAGTCTTCCTCAGGGGACCATGAATATCTGTACACAATTGCAAGGCAATCCATGCAATTGGCCAAGTTGTTAAGATGTTTCAGTCCGGACCAAAGTGGTGGACAGAGTGACACGCAGACTGACTCTCTAAAAATAAGCCTATAAGCACAGGACTGAATATACAAACTTTCAATACAGTTAACAGGTTAAAACCTGATGTACAAGTTTACAAAGCAAAGTTTGGACGAGCAAACACAAGTTTTCAATTGTTATTCAGTTACGTGGAAGTTTAACTTGGGTGTAAAACTGACTGCAGTATTTGTGTGTGCGTGTGTGTGTGTGTGTGTGTGTGTGTGTGTGTGTGTGTTACCTCAGGATGATGGAGGTTGAAGTGGGACACCACAGTGTGCTGTTGGCACGCAGCGAGGGCAAATACAGTGCCATTGGTAACCAATGTACACACTATGGAGCTCCACTTAGTAAAGGTAAAGAGGATCGATGTGACAGTTTTAGGCTGAGAATGAAAAATTTCAATTGCCCTGCAAGTTAACAGTTTGTCTTAGGTCATTGCATCCTTATTGGCACCATGTTAATGATGTGTGTATGTGTGTGCTCAGGGGTTCTTTCAGGCCACACAGTGCGCTGCCCGTGGCATGGCGCCTGTTTCAATGTCCATACAGGAGATCTGGAGGAATACCCCGGCATGGACTGTTTACCCTGCCATAAGGTATGAAGCAGACAGACAGACAGACAGATAGATGGACATTTAGCTTGTGAAGACATTTGCTCTCATTTTTAATTTGTCTTTATCTCTTTTGAAGGTCAAAATTCAAAACAGCAAAGTGTACGTGTCTGTAAATAAAAAGGTGAGCAGGACAACTTTTAATTTTCAGTTGATGTCGTGGTGCTTCCTGTCCCATCACATACTTGTAATGTTCTCTGTTCAGTCTGGGAATAAGCACATCTGATATATGGGTTTGTGAGGGCTTGTATTTTTGGAAGAATTTAGGGTTTGTATTCAATCATTTTGACTCAAATATTTACACTTAAAGTGGTCCAAGTCCTCTAAAACATTTCCATTACCTGCCATTAAAACTCCCCTCTGAAAATAAAGAAATTCATTGCAACTTTACTCTATAACAGAAAAAATTCTGTTGTGTGTCTTTTAAATAACTTAAAAAAAGACTGGTGAATCTAGAAGATCACCAGACTTTATAAAGTATCGATAATAAAGCTGGTTTTCTTTCAAATCACTGCTTAATTCACAGTTAAATTGGAGTTGTTGCTGATACCATTAACAATGGCTCTGTATTATTCAAGTGAAGTTATGACCAATATTTAACCAATAAAGGAACCAATCAACAGTTCAATGATGAGTTTATGTGGTGGTGTTTTTTCTCCATGGTTCAGACCCTCAGGCAGGAGAAGAGAGTGAAGAGTATGGGAGGTGCAGTACCAGGAGTAACTCATACTGTTCTGCTGCTGGGAGGAGGTGAGTGTGGACCACTCTGTGTATCTTTGTGTATGTCAATACCAGGGTCAGCAACCTTTACTATCAAAAGAGTCATTTTTGGCCAGAAAAGCTCTTTAAAATCTGCCTGGTGTAACAGCTGGTAAACCAGGTGAGAGTGGACTCAAATGCTTCTGGTAAAATACCACAGTCTCTACTGGTCAAACTGGGTAGGTTCGGTACACAGATGGACTATCAAGAAAGGCAAACAAATCCAATAGGGATAAGGAAGAGGCAGAGTCAATCAACAGGCTAAATAATGGAGCGTCGGTGGATTAGTGGATAGAGCAGGCGCCCCATGTACAAGGCTGTTGCCGCAGCAGCCCAGGTTCAACTCCAGCCTGTGGCCCCTTGCTGCATGTCACTCCCTCTCTCTCTCCCTCCCTTTCACACTTGACTGTCCTATCGATTAAAGGCAAAATGCCCCAGAATATATATATATATATATATAT